TCTGCCGGCGTATAAAAGTCGCTGGCGGAGCTGGAAACACCAGCAGAATCCGCTTGGCCATCCAAAGCAGCAGTGGCTGAGTATTTCCACACATTTTCGAGAGCCACAGTGTCTTTCGAAAGATGGAAAAAAAAAGTTGTAGTTTTTTTCAGTTTTCAAATTTTTGAATGTGATTGTGACGAAATCGCCCCCCCCCCACCTGATTTCTCAGGAAGCTCATCGAAGTGTGGTTCGATTGTAATTCAAGAACAGAATTAATCTGGCTGCTGGAGAATCGATCTTTTGGTGGGGGCATTTCCAGACACGGGATGCTGATATTATTATTTTTATTTTTTAAATTTGAGTTTAGATTTCATTTCATAATTGAAAATTTGTCTCTCGAAAATTATTTTATGAACTATGGGTCACCAGGAATTTTCTCCAGGGGTTAAACTCGTTTTCGGAGTCATGCGAAACATTTTTGTGATTGGATAAAACGAAGCATAAGTTCGAGTCCTACGTGCAAAAATGAAAAAATATATAATTCAGACTCCATTAAAAAATATTTATGAATCAGTTCAAAAAGGAAGTCGATCAAAATTTTCAAAATCTCTCGAAAAGCAATAAATGTTTACCCAATAAAAGATTTTTGAGTCCAGCGCTCAACATTTTTTATTCATCATAGCTTGACATTTGCAGAAAATTTGCAAGACTTGAACGAGTCAGAAATAAAAAAGAATACTTTTTATTCCATAAACTTTCGTCGTTTCAAGAATATTTTAATTTCGATAAAATAAGGGATCCGAAATAATTTCGCGGTGTGCAAGAAAAAAAATAGGTACAGAATGCGTGAATTATTGAAACTAGAAGATTATCTTCTGCAATATTTGAATCCTTAACTATATTCTTCCTGGTTTTTTTTTGAAGGAGTTACCACTAAATTAAGTGAAACTAATTTATTCGAAAACTCAGGAGTTTATAGAACAGCCGTCATGAAGACCCTTCAGTTCGCCCTGGTGAGTAGTTTTGTTTGGACCTCGAAAAATATTTGAAAATTTCGCAAGCGCTGCGGCAATTTTGCAAGAAATTGCTTGCGCAAGAAATCGGCTTTCGCTGTGCAAAATTATACCAAAGTAAAAAAGTTAAGAGTAGCTCTTAAAAAAGCGGGATTATTTCCTCCTTGGACACGAAACCGCAAGTACTTCTCCCCCTATTTTTTTTGTTCGACATTAATTTCTTATTTTTCAAAGGAAATTGGCTGACGAAATACTACTGCAAAAATCGCCTTGCATACGTTATTTTGCAATGATGTGAAACTAGATTTAGCGGAGGATGGAACCGGAAGTTCAGCAACTAACAAGAACGCCGAGGCAAAAAAAGAAATAATTCTTGATTATTTTCCTGGAGAAGTAGCTGAATATATTTTTTTTAAACCCAAGAAATGAGTTTCAGGAAAACATGAGTGCAAGGTTAAAAAATTCATCTTTACTAAAAAATAAGAATAATAATTTCCAAGGCTTACGAAAAATTGAAAAGCAATCCTGGATGATGTTCGTCATGGATGAAGATTTGAAAGCCAACAAATTTAATTTCGAACGAAATAATACCCACGCTGATCAATTTTGTTTTTCACAGCTTCTGGAAACCTAAATAAAATGCCGGATTGTTTGGAACAATTGCTAATCAGGAGAAATTTAATCAAAATTAAAATTTACTTCGAAAGGTTGGGGCTTTGCTGGTGACGTACGTCGCAGACGCGAGGTACAACAATCTCGGAGCGTCTCGTGTGAAGCGAGACGGCGGCGGCCACGGTGGCGGTCATGGAGGCGGTGGTCATGGAGGCGGTGGTCATGGAGGCGGTGGTCACGGTGGCGGCGGTGGTCACGGTGGCGGAGGCGGCGGTGGCGGCTACGGATCTAAGAGCATCGGAGGAGGTTAGTTCGAATCATCTCCACGACTTCCTTCTTCTCTTGAAAATGCATCGTCCAAATTTTAAAAATAATGTTATATTTTCCTTCTGAAAAGAAAAAAAAAATGGAAGAAAAAAAGTTTCAGCGAAAATACTGTATTTTGGTCTTCGTTCCAAGGAAAGGCTAATTCAAATGATACTTTTTATTGCATCCTTTTTCTCGTCTGAAAAAAAAACTCATTGGAAAATTCTCTCAAGAAATTGTCCCCTCATGAGCTTGAAAATATAGAGAATATCGTAGTCTGCTGCTATTTAAAACTTGAAAATAAGATTTTCGCCTGCAACAAAATAAAGTTTTTATTTGCAAATGAAAAGAGAAGACGGACGATCATTTCAAAAACATGTTTGTCCTCACAAAGAAGTATAAAGAACTGACTTGTTTCAAAGCTCTTTTTTCAATAAAACAGAAATAGGAAGCAGAAAAATACTTCAAATCAATCAGTAAAAAACCTACTCTTTTACGAAATTAAGCTCATATTCCTTCGCTGGATGCATGACAACAATTCTGAAAATAAAAGGCCAAGGTTTGATGAAATTATTTTCAAAGGTTTTTTGAAGCGAACAGTATTATCCTCTCTTTATTCAGCTTAAAAAATATTTTTCTAAACCGACTGCTTCCAAAATTAGTCATGACGCACACCATATGTCAATCATACATACTTTTCTTGGGAATTCCACCGAAATTTATCGCAGAAAACGTTTGCAGAAAATTGTGCTCTTAGGTGCTGAAAAAAAAATATTCTGCCCCAACTTCTCGCTTCCTAGCGTCACTTATTTTCCTGACATCATCATCATCGCCTTGTAAAAAAAAAACAAGTAATTTCGTTAAAAAAAGAGACAGTTATGATGAACAAAACACCAACTTTTCAAGGCAAACACACACAAAAAATGGTAATAAAAAATTCGCCGAAGGAACGAAAGTGACGTAATCACACTCGGCTTCCGGCTCTGTCATGATCTCGGTCCGCTCGAAAGTGAAAATTCGGCGCCACCTGATGCAAGTTGTGCAATTTTTTCTTCTCGAACGTTCACCCTTGTCCAAAATGTGAGTGTCGGAAGCGAAGGGAATAAACAAACACAAAATAAATATAATAAGAACGATGGAATATGAGTCGAGATGCCTGGTGACTTTCCATCCGGAAAATATTCTCTAGATTAATCGTCTCTCTTCCCCCCGCAAATTCAACCCAAAATAAATATTCCGGTCACGATCGAAGAATTTTTCAACCGCGAAACGAAAATGATTCACAAACATTAATTTTGACAAGTTTGATGTACTTTCATGCACGCGATTTCCGTCTGACCATCGTCTTTTTTTCCCCCCGAGAAATTTGGTTTTGTGAAGTATTCTGGCTTATTTTTTTCGCTCAAGTCCTGTTTCTCTTTCATCGCACTACTGTGTGACCCCAAAAAAAAATTTTTTCCGATTGCCAAGAGGAAAAAAAACCCCTCATTTGTATAGTATATATTCGTTACGGAAGCGAAAGTTTCAGAATGTCATTTAAAGTGTTTTGTTAACGAAAATCCCGATGGTTCCCAGAATTGTCTGAAAATTTTTGAAACGAAATTGCAAAACCCCGAAAATTGCGGGCCTCAGACTGATTCAATAACATTTAAGCTCCCACACTCGTCCATTGAAATCCCATATACAATCCACGATGGAGACGTTATATACAGTACATTATGAAACTCAATTTTTTTTTGCCACGTCACGCTTCAATCGACAGACAAAAAGTTCTTCATCTTTCCAAACTTCTTTCCATCGTATTGATTTAAATCCTTAAGCCCCGAGAGAAAAAAGAAACGAAGAAAAATGAGAGAGTGACACAGAGAGAGAGAGAGAGAACATCTACTTTAATTCTCCATGCAAAAAAAAAAAAAAGAAAAATCCTCTTTCAAATGCCACCTTTTAATCGCTTCCGCCTCACGTTTCCTCATCGTCGTCGTCAGCTGTTGTATTGCGGATTTTCGGCCGACTTTATTCAAATGCGCGTGTTTGTATAATTGTAAACCTGGTCTCGATGAGGAAACAGCTTTGATGAGCAAATAACTTGCCCACTGCAGTATATAATGGGAATGATCTTGTTTAAAAAAAAAAACACAACAGAATGAGCTGCTTTTTGATTGTGGCTTCTTTTCCCATGTAACGTAATTTTTCTTGCGCCACACACGAGACCGGCGTGTTAATGAACGTCCGACTTCATTTTTGCGGCTGCATTATTCATTATAGGGTGCGTGTGACACGAACGAGAGGGGAAAAAATTATATCCGCAACAAAGTTGTGGTAATGGCTTTCTTTTGTTCCTGCTTCAAAGTTAATTTTTTCATAGTTTTTGAAGAAGAAGAAAAAAATGAAAGATTCGGTAATTTAAGCGGAGGGAATTCTGAGAACGCTCAGCACGATTCTTTTTGGGGACGAAATACGTCAAATTTTTTCAGACAAAGGTACATTGATCCGTTTTATACTCCTTGATTTTTAAAATACTATATTTTAAGGCATCATCCATTATTGCTGAAAGAATAATAAGATTTTTCCGAAGTATTCAAATGAGGTTCATACGATTGTCGGGAAAATTATTTTCCAGGACTATCAAATGTATAAAAATTTCCTCGAGTTGCTTCGGGTTGATTATCATTATTATTTTATTTATATTACTCATTTATATGATGGGCTCATATTTTGAAACGAGAAGGAAAAATGACATACCGACAAACTTTTCTGTGTAAATAATAAATTTTTATTAAAAAAAAATGATATGAAATTATTTTGGGTTCTGATTTTTTTTCTCTGATGCGCTCTTTGACTTTAGAGTCAAACAGAATGAAGACTATAGCAGCCATATTTTTGGACAGATGACGAAATTCTTGAGAAGTCTCTGAAAAACTTTGACGAGGGATTTAAAATTTTCAACTGAAAACTTCTATTTTCAAAATGCATATAGAAGATGGTTTAAATGGAATTTTTTTCAATTTTAAAGTCAGAGAAAGGAATATTTTTGATCAGATATTTTCCAAGATTACAAAAAAATGATAGATCTTTCGCGAAGTCTCCATGTTGCTTTCAAAGTTTAAAATTTTCAATATTTCAATTATAGGAGGAGGAGGAGGACACAGCGGCGGCGGCGGTGGCGGCGGCGCTGGAGGCTATGGTGGCAGCGTTGGCGGCTACGGCGGCGGTGGTGGGTTCAGCTCATCTGGCGCCGGTGTTGGCGGTGGCGGCTACGGAGGCGGCGGCGGCGGTGGCGGCGGAGGAGGCGGTGGTGGATACGGAAGCGGCGGCGGAAGCAGCGGCGGATATGGTGAGTTCATGAATACTAAATTAATTAATTTATATTCATTTCAGTAGCAGGCACATTCATACTATTGCACTTGATCAAAACTAATCATGTGTCATCCGATATCTATTTTATTTATTTTTCGATAATTTTTAAATGGCGAAAGCAAAATATTTTGAAGACTCTTGTCAAAGACAGCCCTCGAATAAATTTCATGATCATATATAAAGTACTTCAGTGCTTGAAAGGTGATGACTATTACAGAATATAAAGAACATTTTTCTTCAGCTATTTGATGAGCAATAAAAAACATTTTGAAAGATGAATTGTCGTCTTCTGGTTCACATGAATATATTTCAGATTTTTAAAATGTTCAAATTAAACCTTACTGACGGGATTAAGACTCTTCGTCATCATCACAAGTGTATTTGAAAATATGCAAAAAAAAAACATAAAAAATCGTGAAAGCTTCTTGGTTTATTCTCTTCGGATAAAATCGAGAAGCGATTAATCAATCTCAAATTTTAATTGAGGCACAATTCTTTTGGATAAAAGCCATAAAATCTCTTTTGTGGCAGATGCGAAAAAAGGCACGAAAAAATACGTCAATTTTTCGAAAGTTTCTGTTTGATTCAANCGGATAAAATCGAGAAGCGATTAATCAATCTCAAATTTTAATTGAGGCACAATTCTTTTGGATAAAAGCCATAAAATCTCTTTTGTGGCAGATGCGAAAAAAGGCACGAAAAAATACGTCAATTTTTCGAAAGTTTCTGTTTGATTCAATGGCGCCTTAAAATTCTCAACCTTTTGTTGAATCATTATTTTGTCCTTCTCATTGTCAAGTTTCTGGATGCTAAACTACGCATAAAAAGAGACCTACGCTTTTAACTTTTAAGTCATAAATATTTTTTTGAGTAATTCAGAGGAAAACGCAGAAGAACACCCGTCTTATTCAAATTAAATCATAAAACTTTTCAAGTTCTCGTCATATGCGAAGCCTTGTTAACCCAAATCGTGTTTGAATGCCTTATTTTCCGAAATTCATTTGATGAAATGAGCAAAACCTCCGAAGGTTGTCAACTCTTTTTCTGTACTCTTGAAAATATTTTTTATTATTATAGGCGGCGGTTCAATCGGCGGAGGTTCAATCGGCGGTGGTTCAATCGGCGGAGGCTACGGTTCCGGCGGCGCAGTCGCAAGTTCCGGCAGCTACGGTAAGTCTTTCCCTCACTTCCGGTTTTCAACTGAAGCCTTAACATCTTCCCCAAAACAGGAACCAACCAGTTGATAAATTTCTCGGTCAACAGATTTCATTCTCCAGTATGCTTTGAACAAAAAAATAATAATAATCGAGGGGAGGTAATCTGTTGATCGGAGGACGCGCAAACTGAAGAAAATTATCACTGCGATAATTATCATCGTGTTTCCTCCCGGATTCATGCATTAATTTCGTGTCTCGCTGCTGATCACACACACACACACATTGTGAAAGCTTCATTCTTTTATAAAAATTCAACTATTTTTTTTGGTGGGCATTGAGAAGGCGAGGGATGAGACAAATAATGGAAGAGACGAAGAGATTTGATTCTCGTCCCGAGGTTGATGATAATCACGCTTCCGTGATGTCCCTCAAATCGTCTCGATTCAGCACCCAAGTAATTAATGTTTCTCGCATGAACGAAGACTTTTTCGGCAGCTGAAACGGAAGAGAAACCAAGGTCTTTTCCGCCTTTGTAAAACAACACTGGGCACGAGAATCATAAGGAAGAGACCATCTTTAAAAAAGAAAATACGATTATATATTTAAACAGTATACAGTATATCTATTTTTTTTCTGCGATGACCGGAAGGACGAGTTTCTAAATTCGTTCCAACTGCAAATTAAATTTCAAGCGAATTTTTCGCCTCTCAAGCTCAGAAACTTGCACTAATTTAAGTTTGTGCAAATATTCGCAAATACACCGAAGACAAATTTGTAACGCAAAAAAATCAACAAATTTCCCAAAATTAATCAATATTTCGCTGCAACGACTTATTGAGTGTCGATTGTCAGCATTGCTTTCAATTTCAACCGTGTCTCAAAATAATTAACTCTTTTCTATGATTACATTTTTGTCCGTTCTAAGCTAGAATAAATTGCAATAATTCACTGCAAACGGAAGTTCTTACGTTTAAAAATGCAGAATAATTTTTAAACAAATTTCTGCTGTCCGTGAAGAAAGTTTGTGAACTCAAAGGATGCTGTTCATTTGAATTTAATTTTGAAAATGCATAACCTTTCAGAGGAAAAAATTCTAGCGTGGAATGAGTTTCGAGATTCAAAGGACGATCATTAAAATTTTATATTGTCTAAAAATATAGTGCAACGATTTTAAAATTTATGATGTACTGAAAAAACAGTTTAATTTTTTAGCTGATCATACCTGTGAGAAAAAATTAAAATCGAGAAATATTAACTTCTCTTTGAGATTTCGCCACGTGTAACGAATAACCTCAGAAACATCCATCAGAGATTTGCCAATTGAGAATACGCAAGTTTGGCATATTTCGCATCGAGCTGCACTCATTAAAAAATAAAACTAAACAAATATTCCCCCGAATGCTGTGCAATATATATTAGACGGCGCTGACTCAGACGAAAGTGATTCTGGCGGTGGATCCAAGAAAAAGGTCGCCAGTGCCAAAACGTCTTACGGAGCCCCAAAGAAAGCCAAAGCAACTAGTAACTCTTACGCCGCCCCTAAGACGCCCAAAAGCACCAAAGCCGCTCCCAGTCAGACATACGGTGCTCCAGACCAGCCCCAGGGTGGGTATGGGGCACCCATTAGGTCCTACGGAGCACCCCAGAAAAAGAAGAATAAGAAGAAGAAGAAGAAGGTTCAGGCCAAGGGTGAGATTTGGCGACACACAATCCCATCACGCAAAAAAAAAAAAAAAAGAGGGATCATTTCACATACGCTTCTGCTGCACACGTTTATGCCGGGATTTTTGCATAACGTCAAGAGCAAAATAATTTCGTTTCAAACGAATCGTCGAAGAGTTTGGCATCTTTTGATGATGCAAACGGTTCACGTCCTTTATTATTCCCACTTCCCAGAATTTATATTCTTCTTCGGTTTCTCTTCTCCGTGAAAACCGAGTTTTCATTCAAGGCACATAATATTTATACATATTTTTTTGCGACAGCATTTATTGTACAAACACTTGCTCATTGCGAATGAAAAAAGAAAACCGTCGCGAATCTTTTGTCTCCTTCGCCCGCGACTGTGTGCATGACATTGAGTCTTTCAAATCGAAAAAAAAGGCACGCAAAAAACGAAGACCGTGCCTTTATTGTTCTGGTGGCAGTTTTGCGGGTTCGAAAAATTGCACTGCTGCAGCCAATTTCACTTTGATTTACTTCAGGGAATTCGCAAGGGCTGGGCAGCAAACCATAAGCCACATTTTAGAATACTTTTAGTTATTTTCACTTTTTCTAAAATTTTTTGGGCGTGTGTCCAATTTTTTTCAGATTTTTTCGCTGAAGCCAGAGAAAAATATAGGTTAATCCTAACTCTTTCGAAAGTGCAAAAAAAGATTTTGAATGAGGCCAGCTTTCTCTGAACTCATAAATTGTCAAATAATCCTAATGAATTGGCGTTTTGTTTTCTAGGGACTCGAATTAAAAGTATAATAAAAATTCCATTGATGCATTCCATCAAGATAACTTCCAAATTTAGACAGAATTCGATTGAATTAAACTGAATAAAATTCGGCCATTTTGTTGTGAATAGGAAAACCCGAGTGTTTCACCTCTATATAATGGAATACGAATTTCCTTCCAACATCCTAGTTTTAAAAATACCAAAAATGCAAAACAGGTCTTGCTTCATGAGTAAAAAAAAACCATCGATGATATCTTGTCAGTATCACATAAATATGTGACTATGTTTGATACATAGGCTTATGGGAGGCACTTCAGGAATATAATTCGCAATAATGTACATAATTCTGCACTATACATAAACTTATTGACCTGATGTGTGCTGTTTTCTGTTCCAGCTCATGTAAATGCTTTTTTTCCTGGCGATAGCCATTTAGTTTCAGACCTTTTTGACGATTTTCTTGACATATTTTTCCAGGAGGCGGCGGCGGCGGCGGTGGCAACACTGGAGGCTATGGCGGAGGCGCCGTCGGAGGTGGATACAGTGGTGGTGGCGGCGGAGGCGGCGGCGGCGGCGGCGGCGGAGGAGGATATGGTTAGTGTTATTTTAAAAATAAATGTTTTTAAATTCATCTTACGCTGTTTTTCCGATTATTGAAACATTTTAGGCGGCTCTTCAGGTGGACTCGGAGGCGGATATGGTGGTGAGTGGCCATTTACCTTCCACGTGGTTGGAGCCAAAATGGTTGTCAGTGCATAACAAAATATATTTACATACTATTTTTTATTTTTTTTTTGGCTTACGGAATGTTTATACATATATATAGTTGATTTTTGTTAACTTTGTATTTATTGTTGTTGTTGTTTTTGTTGCCCGTCGATCGCCGTTGTTGATATTACTCATGATGGCATTGATGAAATCAATTTTCACCAAAAAACAAATGGAGTCATATAATTCATCATACTCATCATGGTTGATTTTTTTTATGCTGTAGAAGGTTTGACACTTTGCGCACATCCTATTGATTGGTTCGTACGAATTTCCTGCACTCTCTCTCTCTCCTTGGTCTTTATTTTGTCTTCTTATTCCCTGGGTTTTTGGTGCATGCTTTTGGGTGCTGGGGTTTCCTTTGGGGGTTGCTTCTTTTTTTTCATTGTTGTACAGCAGGAATCTCTGAACTGGAAACTGATCTGATCCTTGCAATCCCGCAATTCGTATCCAAAGGACAAGTCAGTGGTGGGTACTCTGCTCCTGCCCCAGCGCCATCTGGCGGATATGGTGCCCCAGTTGCTCAGCCTAGTGGAGGTTACGGAGCTCCCGCAGCAGCGCCATCTGGAGGCTATGGCGCACCAGCAATTGCTCAGCCCAGTGGAGGTTATGGCGCACCTGCACAAGCGCCATCTGGAGGCTATGGCGCACCAGCAATTGCTCAGCCCAGTGGAGGTTATGGTGCACCAGCACCAGCACCAGCGCCATCTGGAGGCTATGGCGCCCCTGCTCAACCCTCTGGAGGATATGGTGCCCCTGCTGCTGTTTCCCAGCCCAGTGGTGGGTATGGAGCGCCATCTATCAGCCAACCGTCTGGAGGATACAGTGCCCCTGCTGCTCAACCATCCGGTGGCTATGGAGCGCCATCTATCAGCCAGCCATCCGGAGGTTACGGGGCCCCAGCTGTTCAGCAGCAACCGTCAGGTGGATATGGAGCGCCATCTATCAGCCAACCGTCTGGAGGATACGGCGCACCGGCACCTGCGCCATCTAGCGGATATGGGTCCCCTGCGCCATCTGGTGGCTACGGGGCTCCTTCCAACGGCTACGGACGCTAGATATATACATAAAAAAAAAAAAAGTTTAAATCTATATAGCGTGAGGAAAGACACGAACATTGACCATCGCAAAAGAGACAAGTTTTTTTTTTATAGCCAATAAAACTTTCAGCTTGTTTTTTTTTTATATATAGAAATGAGGGGAAAAAAAGCACACACACATGAGCTTGATGGAATCGGGGTCAACACTGTGCTTTTTACGGTATCCGGCGTTCTTTTGATGTAAAAGGAAATATTTCGGGTTTTCTCTTGCATGCCAACAAAATTACGCATATCACGAAAAAATGCTGGAGCTGGCTGAAAGCAGTGTTGCCAATATCTCACTTTGCAAACAATTGCCAATCTGTCTGTGCGAGATGAAAAAAAACTTTTGTGGGCGGGATGAGATCAACAAACAAAAGTTGATGACGAGTTCATGATTTATCTCTGATGATTTCTCCGTATGTGAACGAGAGAAGTTTTATTTTTTTTTTTTACATTTTCTTGCCCGTTGGCAACAATGAAATCGCGTGGTCTGCGGCATTATCCTGAGGAGCACTCGATTTTTTTTTTTTAGTTTTGTTTAGAATTTTGAAGTTTATTTCCAAAAAAAATGTTGCGGATCATTTTTTTCCACATTCCCTGTCTGATTTTTTATTCTGCTGTTCTTGGGGCTGAATAAAGCATGAAAAACGAGGATTTTTAGCAAAAGAATGATTGTTTCATTTTGCTTAGTCAAGATTGCGAGGCTTTAAGCCTGGGAAAATTGGCACGAGCCTCGATGACGAAGAAGAAAACGTGAACCTGTTTCGCAGAAAACTGCTTCGTCTTATCTCTGAAAAGTTTTTGCGGCCAACGTTTCAACCCCTCGACACGCAGTCAATGAGTGCCGAAGCATGAACTTGATTATTATTCATAAGCACACCTTATCTTCTCTTTTGCTCATGTGTTGAAAATGTTGTGCCAATTCGCAAGCAGAAAGATAAAGGAGTCGTCAGTCAGCACGGGCAAAGTCTATAAAACGGGTGTCTTTTGAAAGCAAAGCACTTGCAACTCGTCCTTTCGAATTAAATTCGGATGCACATTCAAACCGTCAGTGTTGACAAATATTTTTCATTATTTTCAAAGATTATATATCCAGCGCACAATAAAAAAACGCTTCTATTCTAATGGATTTCATGCCAAAAATTACAGTATAATCTCGTTCATGAAGAATTAAAGCTTACGACGAATTATCATTTTTTGGTTCCTATCCAATAGCAAAAATGTTTTTTTTTTTTAAATTTCGTTCCAGAGAATTATCATTCAAAACAAATATTTTTTTTAAAGGTTCCAACCACTTCGTTGTAACGAGGTTCTATTGTATAAAATAACCGGTGGGCAACGAATGCACAAAGAATATAATCAAACATTTCCGAGTATTGTGACGTGATCTCAGTTATTCTCATGCGATAAATTTAAATTGTATGTGACCCAGACCGGAAGTAAATAATTTTCTTGCTCTTGCCTTTCTTTGAAATTGTTTTCACACTTTGACTACGTATTTTTTCCGCAAATCACTGTTGCAAAGCACGTGAAACTGAATATCTTTGATGCATGCGTGCAAAATTCGAACTGAAAAATGGGTATTGAAATTACGTATACCGAGGTTTCAAAATTTCTTGGGTATATAAGCATATACTTTAGAAATAAACATGCAGATAAAGTGTTCCAGAAGTCTGTTGGAATCTGCTGAAAGAATTTGAATGTTATTTCGGAGAGCCGGGGTTTGGCACAAAAGCCACGTCGACCATGATTAAAACGTGACAAGTGTGCAGAAAAAAGGGGGGAAAATTGGCGGAAGCAGATAATTCTTTACAGAGGATGAACTCGAAATATAAACTTCAGAATCTCTCCAAAACACACTATTTATATAAAACCGAATATATTTTTTCCATATGCCGCTCGCAAGCATCACTCAATCACGCAGAGAAAAAATTCAAAATTCGCAAAATTTTCCCTCTGCTTTCAAATTAGCCCGTGAACGCTACAAAACACTGTCAATTCTACATGAAACCTTGATCATGATCTCTGTGTTTAATTCCAATGCAAAAAATTAGCGAAGGGGGCAGAAATGAGGCATTTGGCAACAGCGCTGATTTGCGCTCTCGTCGCAGTGTCGATCAACGCGCAAAATTTCCGTCTTCCACTGAACGTCATCCCGTCGCACTACGACATCGAAGTGCAAGTGAAATTGGACCCGCTAGAATTTTTCACTTTCGATGGCATCGTCAGCATTAACTTCACCTGTGTCGAGGCCACCGACACCGTCATCGTTCACAACTATCTCCTGACTGTCGACGAGGCAAACGTCGTTCTTCAGGCAAGTTTTCGCGTTCACATTATTTTTCAGATAGAAAAAAAGTAAGTTGAAAACCTAAAATGAATCAACCGATGTTTTTTTTCGCGCATATGATTTTTCGTTAACGGCTGGAAGCGAATTTTTTTTCCAATGCTAATAAGTGATTATACTCATGTAATTTTATTTAGAACTAGATTCATGCTTTGCAGATAAAATAATTTTGACATAAGAAACAAAAATCCAAATTTGAAACAGTTACTTGATTATTTTCTTACGGAACTGAAAAAGGGATTTCATGCAATATGTAATCTATAATGCGCGTGGCTTTAAATTACTTTTAAATACCCAAAAACAAATCGAACTTCCTCATAAAGACAGAAAAAAATATTTCAAGCCTGCTGTTTGGAAATATTTTCTGGTCTTTAATTTTTCTGACAGGGAAAATAGTAATACCTCTTTCTGAACCCTGAGCCCCAACCCTCAGTCCAAAATCCCAATTGTATTATATCCTAATTTGCATTAACCTTGCTTTACCAACACCCTCCTTTAGTTTATTAACAAATTAACCTTGAGGGATCATGGTGGTGAATTAAGAATTAAATTTAAATCTTTGAACTTGGAAGGGTTTCAAAGACTTTTAGGAGCATTTTAGCTCGCAAAATATACTGTGACAGTTTGATTGTATTAAAAAATGGATGCTTTTTCATATCTTTTTGTTGGATGAAATGCTGTGGGAAAATGCCAGTAAAATGTAATTTCTATGATTTTGTGTTGTCAGGCGAAACTTTTGTTGGACTATAGTCACTGTTGCCTGAAGGAATAATGTAAATCTTTTCGATTTATTTCTGTTTTTTTCTCAAACCATCTCAAAGCGAATTTCTTTTTTGAATTCGGATATAAGAGACATACTTTTCGTTATTATACCTCCCTCGGCTGACTTTTATTCTGAGATTTGTCTCTCTCAATGAATAATTTCATTCAAGGAGTACAGGGTTGCAAAAATTATTCTGAAATTGCAATGTTCCCTTTCAACTCTTTCAGAATTAAATCTTGCTGAAATTCAGGATTGAGCAAAGACACTCTAAACTTCCCAGGAAGATTATTTAATTGATGGCCATGCAAAGTAGCAAATTCAATTTTTTCACAAAGATATATAATTAGGTTTGGAATGTTTTGAAATATACTGTAATCGATAACTGAATGAGGATACAATGTTTGCTAGCAAATACCTTAGATTTTATTTTTATGTTTGTTAGGAATATTGTTTGTTGGGGAAGGTGCTCAATATGCTAGAAACCCCTGTACATTAATAGGATGGGCAACACAAGAAATTCACTGATTTCCTTCCAGATACTTCAACAGATGTGTGTGTGTAATTTTCACAATACAGTATAATATCCATATGTAGAACTTCAGAAAGATAGAATGCCGTCAGAGACAACTAGCTTACAAATATAGTTTCTAACTATCGCATTTGCTTTGAATAATACCATGCAATACATTCTAAAACTTTGAATGCGGGCGAATGAATTGTTTCCGTGTCACATTTTTAAATGTTTAAAATATCTCTTGTCCTCGTTTTATTACAGGATGAATCAGGGACATCAGTGGGGATTGATCGCCATGAATATGATTGGGATTATACCGAATTCCAAACGATATTTCTGACCGAATCTCTGGTGGCTGGACAGAATTACAGGCTTACCATACCTTATTCTGGAGAAATGGTGACTTACCCTTCAGGGCTCTGGTACGGGTCTTACGTTGGCGACTCTGAGGAAGTGGAGTAAGTATAGTGTACAGTACTGTCGACTCAAAGATATTTTAATTCCCAGTACAGCCAGTTTATTTTAATGATGGATAAAAGAGAAGGGGTTGGAAATAATTTAACATACAATTTTAGAAGATAAGTACTTTCAAGTGTGGACAATTGAGAAGTTTACAAATGTTTCATTCCACTTTTTTCTCCAGATATTATGCCGGAACTCAATTTCAACCCACATCTGCCAGAGCTTTGTATCCCAGCTTTGATGAACCTGGACTGAAGGCAACTTTCAGCATCACTGTTGGTCATCCAACTCAGTACCAAGCTTTCAGCAACATGCCAAGGACAAAGAGTGCTGCAGAGTGAGTCCATAAAAATTTACAATTGCCCCTTTCAGAATGGACTTAACTTGTGCAACAGGCTAGTCTGTACTGTGAAAAGTCTGTTCTGCAAATTCAAGTTTCCTCTAGGTTTACATATCATAAATTTTAATACATGTTTACCTTTGAATCAGAAGCAAAAATTGTGGAAAAAAACCAGAAACACAGTCATTCTGGAACTGAATCAAACCTAAAGCTTTATGCAGTTTCAAAAAAAAAGAAACAAGGAAGCATATAAGTCATGCTCTGTCATTCTTGAAAAAGTGAAAAACTTTAAAACAAAACATTGCTCAGTCAGAGTCATTGTCACCAACTTGGGCATCTGATGGCCCAGCTATAGCAGGAGAGAAGACATTTTCTATGTTGGTAAAAAAAAAGTCTGGTTTTATGCTTAGGCATGGACCTTGAACACAGAAGGTCTATGATTTTTGTTGTGGATTCTTGAAACACCTTCTCCAGTGGTTTCACAAGCAGACATGATTTTTTCCCTGTTTCCCCAGTTTGAATTCAAAATTTGCTTGGGCAGTCTGTATATGTTAGCCTCATCAATTGGTTTTTCACAAATTTCAATTGTTGAATCATTGGCATTTGTTGAATCATCACTCTTTCCTCATCAAGAGGGATGGGTTTCCTCTTCATGCCACTCTTTTTGGACATACTGTATCTACTTTATGTATCTGCAAAACTTATGCAAAACAAGCAAGATTACAAAAAAAAAGAACTCAAAAACAGAGCACACAGATTCAGAGCCATAATAATGATGTTTTACATTAAAATCAAGTTGGGAAGAAAGAGGGATGTGAGGGATTCATGTCCACTGCTGCCACATACTTTTACAGACTGAAGTCTGTACAGGTGGCACCTCACAAATTGACAACAAAGTCCAAGTTTGCCCTTAAGGTAAATTCGATGTAGAGTTAGAATCCAAGTAGATTTGGAAAAATTTGATCCACGTAATTTTTTTTCGAGTCATCCGAGTCCAAAATTCGTTTTCAACTTTCTAGATAGCGCAACACTCTTCACCCACTTTAAATAATGTCAAAAGTTCAATTGGCAGATCGACTGAATGAGTTTCATGAATAATGAAATTCCCGCGGAAACATCTTCAAGATTCCATGCTCCATTTTCAGCCCTGATGCCCCAAATCTCGTTTGGGACTACCACGAAACCTCGGCAGTCATGTCATCTTACCTCGTAGCAATTGTTGTTGGTGACTTCACCAGAGTGCCGACCAGTGACCCGAGACAATCCATCCTGGTGAGAGACGAGGTCACCGACTTGACCGGAGATGCCGCTGTTTACGTTCCCGCCATCCTCAACGAATTGGAGACGAGGTGATGATAGAAATCGAAAAAAATTCCGTATCTCTCTAAAATCGCGAAAAGACAATAAGGCAATAATCCTCTACAGTACGACTACTCGAGCACGACTCACCCCAAGAGTTTTTCAATCAAAATACAGTATTTTATAAAATTTTAACCTAAAATTTGACGCGCACCTCATTTTTAGTGACTATAAAATTGCAATATTTTAAAAACAAGAACACCTAAATTTGAATTTAGACTCGAATTGATCCTGAATTCAACTGCTTTCCAACTGTTTTCGTGAAAAAATTTTTTTTAGCTTAAAATTGGTCCGAAATTTCCAATGAGAATAAACTTTTTTGCGCTCCTAACCTTATAAAAAATGTTGAAAAAATTTATACTCGCCAAGAAATGACGCGCAGCCCATTAATCCCTCTCAATTTTGACTAAAAACATACACGCTCAGTATATTTTAATATACGTACTGTAAGAATGACGATTTAGAAAGAATTTTTATTAATTTTACGATTAGATTGTCGACTCCGTTCCCTTTGCCGAAGCTCGACCACGCGGGACTCATCGATTTTGGAGGCGGTATGGAAAACTACGGACTCATCATTTACTCGTGAGTGTGGAAAATTTTCAATTGATAATCAGAAAGATACTTACGAACTATTTGCAATGACTGTATTTGGATATGAAATACTGTCTATTATTCTTCGTATGTAATCGGATATTCTATTTAAATAGAGAAGACGGAGTGGCCGGATTTGACGGCTCAGCGTCTTTGACTTTGGTGACCCATGAAACTTCTCACATGTGGACCGGAGATTTGGTGACGTGTCAGTGGTGGGATGTCACGTGGCTGAACGAAGGCATGACTCACTTTTTCACGTACTTCATCTCCGAAAAGGTACATGTTCTTTACCTTGATCGAATATGCAGTAATGACAAAAAAACTGATTGCACGAAAACAACGCTTGCGAGTGGAACACGCTCGAATGTATACGGAAAAAGGAATTATTATCCTGGCGACCATCAGCAGAATGAATAATGGGCAAGATAATGATTGCTTGGTGAGCCGGAAATACGATTTCAATTTATACACTAGGCTAAAATAACTTAATTTAATTACGTATAAGAAATACATCGTCATAGACATCGTCATAGAATTCTGCTTCGAAACTGTGACGGCGACATCTACATAAAGTTTTTGAAATGCCAGATAACGCGATAGACATTTTAGCAGATAGGAGGAAGGCCCATATATTTCCGAAACTGTTCTTCGCTTTTGTTTGTCGAAGTAAAATGCTGTATTCACACTACTGTGTATAGTGTTGATGAAGACAGGATTTTGCCTATTTTATGAATGCAGGTTGACCCAACTTTCCCGTACTTCGACTATTTGGCAACCCAGCTGATGGACAATGCGATGTACTACGATGCCCAACCCTCAGCACTGTCGATGGTTGTGCCCATCAGTCGGCCAAATGACATTGGCAACGCTTTCGGCGGAAACTTGATTTACAATCGAGGTAATAAAATAACTCCTAGCTCAAACAAATACATCCAATATAGCCATCAATTAGACGATTGACTAATTTATATTTTTAGTAGCAGATGTCCTCGCATATATAGGACTAAAATTGTTCACTTCACTTAATGATGCTGAAATATTTGTATATACTGTACACGCATCTCAAGGTCAAAATCCCCTTTATGATTTCGCTGCTGTAGGTTTAGCTATTCAAAAAGCTGGACAAAATTTTTTTTTTCGATTTTTGAGTCGAATTAATGTACATTACAGTATTATGTTTGTACGAGTTTTGTTGGATGAGACAATTTACATGATGTGTATAATTTTTAATTGTAAGACACGGATTTTGGCTCGTCTTACTCATTATACACAATATATTGGCCAAAGACTCTCGTCATCTCATTTTCCCCATATATGCAAGGTGGAAATATTGGCAGAGTCATGTACCTTCTGCTCGGAGACGAAATCTTCATGGAAGGCATGAAGAACTACTTTGCAGAAAACCAGTTTCAACCAGTCAGAGAAGAACAACTCTTCACTGCTCTGAATAATGCTGCTGAAGCCGCTGGACTCGGACTGGAATATTCAGTGTCCGATTTGATCAGTCCATTCACGAATCAGGCCGGAGTTCCTGTGGTGACTGTCACCAACACTGGGGCCAAAGAGAACGGAAAATCAGTTTACGCAGTTTCCCAGGTGAAGACATTTTTTCTTAGACTGAAGAAATACGAAACACTTTTTCATAATTCTAATAAATGATCAACTGTATCAAGTGAGGCTCTATATACCATTTGAAAGTCATTAATACACATCAGGTATTGCGTCGTTGCGTCACTTGGAACTTCCGCCTCTTGAACCTCATTTTCCCAGAGGACTGCAATTGAATTTTTTTATTCACTTCGCATATTCAGTGAAAAAAAAATTCTTCAACAATTTCAAGGAAGTATTATCGTACTTATAAATGGATAATATGGATATGCAGAAGGGAAACCACACAGAATCTACTCTTTTGAAAAACTCAAATGAGTCCAGAAGGGGGAAAAATAAACATATACTTTATTATCATAGTAATCTAAAAAAAGATTGATTTGCCATAGTTGATGAAAAATACCAAAGAAGGGAGCAAAAACTGACCGGTTTCGGAAAAAAAGCAGAGCAAGTTTAAGAGCAGCTCAAAAATAAATAAACATAATAAATATATATTGCCAATATATATGGTAGATTATCGCGATTTTTTCACGAGATTTCAACATTTTGAAAAAGAGCACCGCATATTTTCATTCCTTTGAAAACTTTGGTAGGGAGTCCATAAACTTTGAATTATCGTCCACCAGCTGCCAGGGCAAAAAAAATTTTTTTTGCAAGTTAAATTGACCAAATGTTTGAGGGACCAACGGTAAATTATTTACTTTTTACACTGGAATCCTCATCTTGGGGATTTAAATAGTAAATTAAATCATTCAAATACTGACGAGTTAATGAGCAGCAAATTATTCCAATAAAGTTCCTTTACAAAATACAACTGATCTGTACTGCATTGCTTGTCTTCATTTCTCATACAATATTAACATGAATGAACGGAAACTCCTCCATGATATCTAAAAACCATGAGACAAAAACTGCTTGTGAAGAGCAAACATATAATCCTTGAAAAAGATAATAAATTCTTTTTAATTCCACGATTAAATGATCACCAATATATGACGCATATCAATTTTTCTCAAAACGTTCAGCAGAAAAACTCAAAGACTGATGAAAGATAATTAATGATCGGGTGTTTTGCAGAGGCGTTTACTGGAAGTGATGAATAACGAACATGATGACGACACTTTGTGGCCGATTGCGTTGACCTGGGCGACATCGTCGGATCCCAACTTTGACGACAAAACCCCGAAAACATATTTGACCGAAGCTTCGACGACAGTGACGATCGACGGTGACGACGACTGGGTCTTGTTCAACAACGAACGATCCGGCTATTACAGGGTGAGCGTACATTTCTTTGAGAAAAAAAATCTCCCTTTCAACCTCTGGTTTAGATTTCCATAATTATTGAAAAAAATTAATCGATTACCTCAGAAATAACTGGAGCCAAGTTTTCGAAAAGGAAATTGTTACGGAATAAAAGAAGATAGAATTTGTTCAGGCGTCCGATCAAGAATTTTTTCGACGTGTGAGAAATGAGCTATTATTACACTATAGATCTCAATTTTTCGAAAAAAGCTCTTTTTATTAATGAATACTCCTTCACCTTAAAATTGCAGGTGAATTACGACACTGCGACGTGGAACAAAATCTTGGATGCACTGGAAACTCCAGCAGGAAATGCAATCCCAGATATGAATTTTGCTGCCATTATTTCGGATGGATTGGATGGCCGGATTTGACGGCTCAGCGTCTTTGACTTTGGTGACCCATGAAACTTCTCACATGTGGACCGGAGATTTGGTGACGTGTCAGTGGTGGGATGTCACGTGGCTGAACGAAGGCATGACTCACTTCTTCACGTACTTCATCTCCGAAAAGGTACATGTTCTTTACCTTGATCGAATATGCAGTAATGACAAAAAAAACTGATAGCACGAAAACAACGCTTTCGAGTGGAACACGCTCGAATGGATACGGAAAAGTAATTTTTATTCTGGTGCCCATCAGGAGAATGAATAATGGGCAAGATAATTATTGCTTCGTGAACCGGAAATATGATTTGAATTTATACACTAGGCTAAAATAACTCGATTTGATTACGCATGATAAACAGCTACATCATCGTCATAAGATGCTGCTTCGAAACTGTGAGGGCGACATCTACATAAAGTTTTTGAAATGCCAGATAACGCGATAGACATTTGAGCAGATAGGAGGAAGGCCCATATATTTCCGAAACTGTTCTTCGCTTTTGTTGGTCGAAGTAAAATGCTGTATTCACACTACTGTGTATAGTGTTGATGAAGACAGGATTTTGCCTATTTTATGAATGCACGTTGACCCAACTTTCCCGTACTTCGACTACTTGGCAACCCAGCTGATGGACAATGCCATGTACTACGATGCCCAACCCTCAGCACTGTCGATGGTTGTGCCCATCAGTCGGCCAAATGACATTGGCAACGCTTTCGGCGGAAACTTGATTTACAATCGAGGTAAGGAGAATTACTCCTAGCTTATTCGAATACATCCAATAGCCATCACTTATAGGCAATTGACTAGTTTTTTTTTTTCAGTAGCAGATGTCTTCGCATGTAAGACTAAAATTGTTCACTTCACTTGATGGTGCTGAAATATTTTTATATACACGCATCTCAAGTTCAAAATCCCCTTTTATGATTTCGCTGCTGTAGGTTTAGCTATTCGAAAGCTGGACAAAATCTTTTTTTTTCGATTTTTGAGTCGAATTAATGTACAGTATTATTTTTTTACGAGTTTTGTTGGATGAGACAATTTACATGATGTGTATAATTTTTATTTATAAGACACGGATTTTGGCTCGTCGTACTCGTTATACACAATATATTGGCCAAAGACTCTCATTTAATTTTCCCCATATATTCAAGGTGGAAATATTGGCAGAGTCATGTACCTTCTGCTCGGAGACGAAATCTTCATGGAAGGCATGAAGAACTACTTTGCAGAAAACCAGTTTCAACCAGTCAGAGAAGAACAACTCTTCACTGCTCTGAATAATGCTGCTGAAGCCGCTGGACTCGGACTGGAATATTCAGTGTCCGATTTGATCAGTCCTTTCACGAATCAGGCCGGAGTTCCTGTGGTGACTGTCACCAATACTGGGGCCAAAGAGAACGGAAAATCAGTTTACGCAGTTTCCCAGGTGAAGACATTTTTCTTAGACTGAAGAAATACGAAACACTTTTTCATAATTCTAATGAATGATCAACTGTATCAAGTGAGGCTCTATATATACCATTTGAAAGTCATTAATACACCTCAGGTATTGCGTCGTTACGTCACTTGGAACTTCCGCCTCTTGAACCTCATTTTCCCAGAAGACTGCAATTGAATTTTTTTTATTCACTTCGCATATTCAGTGAAAAAAAAATTCTTCAACAATTTCAAGGAAGTATTATCCTACTTATAAATGGATAATATGGATATGCAGAAGGGAAACCACACAGAATCTACACTTTTGAAAAACTCAAATGAGTCCAGAAGGGGAAAAAATAAACATATACCTTATTAGTAATATAAAAAAGATTGATTTGCTATAGTTGATGAAATGATCACCGAAAAGAGCAGCAAAAACTGACCGGTTTCGGAAAAAAAGCAGAGCAAGTTTAAGAGCAGCTAAAAAATAAATAAACATAATAAATATATATTGCCAATATATATGGTAGATTATCGCGATTTTTTCACGAGATTTCAACATTTTGAAAAAGAGTACCGCATATTTTCATTCCTTTTAAACCTTTGGTAGGGTGTCCATAAACTTTGAATTATCGTCCAGCAGCTGCCAGGGCAAAAAAAATTTTTTTTGCAAGTTAAATTGACCAAATGTTTGAGGGTCCAACGGTAAATTATTTACTTTTTACACTGGAATCCTCATCTTGGGGATTTAAATAGTAAATCAAATCATTCAAATACTGACGAGTTAATGAGCAGCAAATTATTTCAATAAAGTTCCTTTACAAAATGCAACTGATCTGTACTGCATTGCTTGTCTTCATTTCTCATACAATATTAACATGAATGAACGGAAACTCCTCAATGATATCTAAAAACCATGAGACAAAAACTGCTTGTGAAGAGCAAACATATAATCCTTGAAAAAGAAAATAAATTCTTTTCAATTCCACGATTAAATGATCACCAATATATGACGCATATTAATTTTTATCAAAATGTTCAGCAGAAAAACTCAAAGACTGATGAAAGATAATTAATGATCGGGTGTTTTGCAGAGGCGTTTACTGGAAGTGATGAATAACGAACATGATGACGACACTTTGTGGCCGATTGCGTTGACCTGGGCAACGTCGTCTGATCCCAACTTTGACGACAAAACCCCGAAAACATATTTGACCGAAGCTTCGACGACAGTGACGATCGACGGTGACGACGACTGGGTCTTGTTCAACAACGAACGATCCGGCTATTACAGGGTGAGCATACATTTCTTTGAGAAAAAAAAATCTCCCTTTCAACCTCTGGTTTAGATTTTCATAGTCATTGAAAAAAATTAATCGATTACCTCAGAAATAACTGGAGCCAATTTTTTGTAAATGAAATTGTTACGAAATGAAATAAAATAAAATTTGTTCATGCGTCCGAACAAGAATTTTTCCGACGCGTGAAAAATGAGCTATTACGCTAAAGATCTCAATTTTTCGGATTTTCCAAAACAAAAGCTCTCTTCATTAATGAAAACTCAAAGTGGAATTTTAACGTCCACTTAATGCTGTGACGCTGCACCTTGTTTTAGAACCTACGTGACCTTTGAGGTCGTCCTTTACGTTAGGGTCTATACTTAAAACGACGGTAATAAAGCCTACCTAACCAATTGTGTCTTTTGGGGCTAGTTGATCCTGACGTATGCGAGTCTTAGGGGTCAGCTAACTCCTTGCTCTCTTCAAACTAGCAGACCGACTGGCGACGGTTTTTAAACGTGTTCCGGTAGCGCTCTCGTCGACTGTTTTGCCGTCTTTGCCATAAACTAAATACATCATCCACTCGTGGTCTGTCGAACACATATTCCAAGAAAAAAAAATCATGTGTATCTTGAAATTTTATTTGTTGCTCTTCTCGGTGAATGGAAATCTAAATGCAATTTGTTAGGCGAAACATTTAATGTGCTTTAGATGCTCCCTGTACAGAATGTTCAAGAAGATCACATTTTTAACAATTATTTGTTGACTATTTGGACATTTTTCAAGAAGGCACCATTTTAACAATAATTTGTTGAATATAAATTTTTCAAAAAGACCACATTTATTACAATAATTTTTACTTTGATTTTTCGAATTGTTCTAGAAGCAAGCATTTTTACCAATAATTTCGGAAAAGAAATATTTCAAGTAGATTACCTTAGTAGAAATGTTTCAAAAATTTGACCAAATTTTCAACAATAATTCTTTTACAGGATTGTTTTTACCTTGATTTTTTGAATTGTTCAAGAAGACCACATTTTCAACAATACTTTTTATAGACTAGGGATTTTGAAAAAATGAGACCACATTTTCAACAAAATTTTTTTACAATGCAGGTATTTTCACTCCGATTTTTTGAATCGTTCAATAAGACCACATTGAAAAAAATAATTTTCGAACATACATTTTAAAAGTAGATACCATTTCTGAAAATAATGCTTCGAGTAGAAATTTTTGAAAGGTGAGACCATATTTTTAACCATACTTCTTTGAATAAATTGATTGACTTAAATTTTTTGAATTGTCCAAGAAGACCAGCACCTTTAAAAAAATAATTTTTCGAACATAAATTGTTTAGTAAGACCAAATTTTTACCAATACTTTTTCCACTAGACTAGAGTAATCGTTCAAAAATAAGACCACATTTTGAACCATAATTTTTCGACTATAGAAATTGCTCAAGAGGACCACATTTTTAGCGATAATATTTCGACGCATAGAAAATATCACAGGCTTTTTCTTCCAGATTCGAATCAAAGAAATCGTGAAAAAAGCAGAATTCAACGCCATGAGAACCAGAGAAGCAATGACTCCTCAACGCAAGAACCTCTTGGAACTTCTGAGGAACTTCTCCAAGCACTTGGATGGACCAAATGCCACCAGAGCATAGTGAATATCTTTTAAATCGCATATACATTCTTTACAATAATGTGAAATAATTTCTTCAATTTTTTGTTCGTTTTCAGTATCTCGTCTCACGAAGCCTTCTGGAACAAACGCTTCCAAGAGCAGGAGCAAGGCCTGAAAAAGCGACTCTCTCACGAATATCCGCATCCGAAGCTTCAGAATTGATGTGTTTAGCTGTGTTTATATGTCATTTGCGAGCCATAAACGAAATACCTCTTGGAAATGACACAGTAAAGAGTTTTTTCTTCCTCTCCAAGTATCATCAAAATAAACCTGGGTATACGAATCAAAAGAATCGAAAATATTTCTCGAGATGAATTCCTCACCAAAATTCAAGAGGAAGAAAGGCATTTCTGCATAAACTAAACAATTAACTTAATTGGAGTCAAAAATTAGAATAAATCCGTTAACTTCAATTTAATTACATAAAGTGTATTAACCCAAAAGACTACTGTCATGGGTCCATTGAATCCCAGACAAAGGAATCAAATTGTGCAGCCACCAGAATGAAAGTTTTGAATAAGAACTCAAGCTCTTTTCAGAGGAGTTCATTCTCATTGCCCAGATCATCAATTGGCTGTTAATAATTGAATGGTTGT